CGTGTTGGCTGCGGTGGTGGAAACGATGACGCTCGACGACGACGTTACTTGACGTGGAAAACTGCTGCCGTAAGGCGATGAGTGCAGCCTCGTACTTGTCAGTAGCGGTCGCGGGAGGCTTCTCTTGTACTTTTGGTGCTGCGGCGCTTGCTGGTGCTGCGGCATTTGACCCTGCAGGTAAAGTCCGGTAAACATGCTGCCCTTCCGCCCCCAAACAATGCAGAAGAATGGCCTTGCGTCGCGCTGGTGGGAACTCAGCTGCTCCGGACGCTAGAAGGTAGATTGTTACGTCTGCTCCCACTCCTCCCATGGAAGTGACGGCCGGCCGGGCGTCGGGAGGAACGGCGGCGGCGGAGCAAGGCCGGAGAAACTCATGGCGGGGCGCACCCGGACGACACTCGATGCTGAAGGTAGCTTGACGTGTTTGTCCCACCCTCGTCGCCAATGTGGTGTTTGCGAAAGACGTAAGAAGCACCGGCAGCACCACCGTACAAAAAGACGTTTATTGTACGCAACACATCGAATATATACATAAAGGACAGACGCGCCCCCTGGGGGTGAAAAAACACAAAGTAAAAACCGAAACTGAATATAACAAGCTCCAATTCCCTTAGCAAACACTACTTACAATTAGCCGGTAGGAATTCGCCGTGGAAGCTGTCGCGGAACTCTTCTACCGTGCGAAGCCATGTCCGACTAGTTGGAATCATCGAGCCGCTTGCTCTGTGAGCGAGACCAAGACCACGGGCTAGAGAAGTTCGGCGCCAGAAAGCCTCGTCGCCTGCTGATAATGGAGCAACTGGGAGGCACTTGTTGGCACTTTTGCAGTTGTGGTAACCCGTGTAGGTAGGCACGTCTACCTTGACACGTGGTTGCACAGTCTGCACGGGAACCTACCTACTGGTGCCAGCAGGCACGTGGCTCTGCGAGTGCGGCACTGTGGTGGTACATAGCTCCCACGAATTGGAAAAGTTACACCGGTGCCACACCCAGGATACCCAGCCATCCAGCCGCGAGTCATCACAGGAGCACTTCAGTGCCGCGGCTGAAAGGTCACCGGTGGTCCCCTGCAAAATCCAAGACCTTGAGTGAAAATGTCAGCATACTGGCTAAGTAGGGTCTCTAGTTTCATGTCGGCTCCGTTGAACTTCATAGGTTGCATGCTGGCGAAGACGTTTGTCTGCATGAGAACTCTGATTTCATTAAAAGCCTTTATCGTATCGCGTCCACATAAGATCGGTCCTGAGTTGTCGATCACTGTGACCATGCCTTGCATATTTTTCCATCACATCTGGCCGTCATGCTTAGTTGTCCTAGCACGGGAACTTTACCCAAGAGACAGGACAGTCTCAGCTGCGTTTTTCGCAGCGGGGGTCACTTCCTTTCATACTTCCAAAACACTGCTCCTGAAATGATGCTTACAGGTGATCCGGTGTCCACCAACATTGTTAAAGGAACGTTATCCCAGCTGACGACTCTGAACAGGTTTGACATTTCGGATACTTGCTTCTTGGTGAAGGACGGCCTCTATGGTGTACAAGGTTTCACTATCGTCCAAGGTCGTGCAGTCTTCAGCTGTCATTGTGTACGCCCCTTTTCATCGTGCATCCACATGCGGCCTTTTCTGTCGGAGATAAGATGTTGCTGACTGACACATTCAGTTCAGGTGGCCTCATTTACACTTGTGGCATACCGTACACAAGTGTTTGCATTCATTATCGGAATGTTTTCTACTGCCACACCGTCCACATCCGCAATGCGTGTCCGGCTTTATCCGAAATCGACCAGCCCCGTTTTATGGTCACACAAAATTTACCGCACCTTGCTTCTAAAGTGCATCATTCGGGCGTTCTCAGTGGCTTTCTGCGCCGAAATGGCAAAGCATGCTGCCTGTTCTAGCGCGAGCTTCCGTTGCGTCAAGCCTAACGTCTTCATAGTGCACGCCACACAAAATTCGGTCTCTCAGCAATCTCTTCAACGATACCCCGAAATCGCACATCTCCGCCAGCCGTCTAATTTCGGCAATGAAATCCTGAGCAGTCTCACTGGATTTTTGTGCTCGGATGCATAGCTTGCAGCAGTCTCGTTGACTTGAAGGGTGTAAAGTTCTTCCAAATGCCCGACGACTTCATCGTAGCTGAGCTCGTTGACTTTCTTCGGGTGGCAATGCCCCTGCACCACTCTCACTGCGCTGTCCGTGAGCAATAATATTAGGAGTGCTCGTTTCTTTGCTTCATCTGCGATGTTGTGCACTTCAAAGTAAGCCTCCAGGCGAACACGATACGTTGGCCAGGTACCATTCAGCCCTCTAAATTTTGGCGGCCTCCCGGCACTCATGCTTGCGCGGTTCGCTCGTCGCCACTGTTACGTCGCTATCGAGATACAACATGGAAGCCAGATAACACAACAAGAAGAACAATTTATTGAGCAGCTTGTTTTTATCCTCAATGCACGTGACGTTGCAGTGACAGCATTGATAAGACTGCACACGTCCAACGCTTCAGGCACCCAACTCAGAATTTCTTGGCTATATAAACATTAAGTCGTGCAACCAGAATAGAAGCTTACAGAACTTGACCCTCCATTTCATTTACTCTTGTGGTAACATCATATCTTCCCAAAGATTTGAGACGATCAGAATATCTTCCGAGTTGGGGTACGTTGCCATAGGAATCAAATGTTCTAAGAATACCGGTGCACACACCTAACACAGTGTTGCTCAAACACAAAGTTAAGTAGACAGGCATTACTCGTGGAACCCACAACACAAGCTTCCTACCCCACTTAAATAAAGACAACAGTGAAAAAGTGATACAACAACTTTTAATTGCATTCACAGAAAATTGGAAATGCACATCTTAAACCACCCCCTTTATTAGTTACATTTCCTTTTGTTATGCATGTTCACCGTCTGCAGTGATGGTCTCTCAGAGGATTATCTTTCTTGTGGAAGACTGAGGTTGGAGGTTGATCTTTAAAAGGAGCTTCAACTTTACTTGCAAACTATATTTCGCGAATCCAACATGATGCAACTGAACAGCTTACTGAGTTCGAATTCTAGCTTTTTCTTTTTAAACTAGTGGAGCATTGGGACACTAAGTTTATGGCCTCCTTTGACTGAAGCTCCGAGCTGACAGTGCCTGACAAGAGGCTAAAGGGCAGCAGAGCGAGATACGGCTGAGAGATAAAAATAATGTTAACTAGCAATGCGATTTATTCAAGTTTCTTTGGAACTGATTGTAAAATTTTACTCCAACTTAACACAGCAAGTATTAACAAAATGACATACATTTTGTCTCATATGCAGGTGGCAAAAGAGCCATGATTCCAGGAGTTTTCTTTTTGCCCTTCTTCCTCCCCGAGCCAGTGTCATCACATTGTTTAGGTCAAAGCGATGCCCTGTCATCCAGAAGTATTGAACAAGCTCCTTCTTAGAACGCTCTGAATAGGCTGCTTTAGCAAGAACTCATTTGCATTCTTTAAGCCTCACAGTTCCTTCCCTGCCTCTTAGGCTAACGTATGTCACTGATGATTAGTAGGTTTATATGATGCATGGCTTAAGAAGTAAGTTACGTCACAATCGCTACATTGTACTTGTAGATGACCCTGCACTGATCGTTCAAAGTTGTTCAATCTTTGGGTTTCATGAATGCACGTCCCAATGTATAACGGAGCATAAAAATGCTTTGTATGCCCAGTGGAAACGAAGCTCTCCGAACAGAATCTATCACACCTTGAAAATTGGAAACAGACACAATGGACATTGCCTTCACTAGTAACACACTCGCCTTTCCTCTAGCACATGCTTTTGGGTATAGTGATTGTCATGAGTAAAAGAGAGGCACGTGCCGAACCTGGAACCGCGGCTACGGTGCACAAGGAGAGGAGAGTCACCTGAGTGCATCTGCACCAACCATAGACGCAAGAGATTGGCCGAAGAAAGGCTCGTAGCACGCTACACGAGCTGAGAAGAAAAATTACAGAGCATGAGTTGGCGAAGAAGATCAGGAAGCGAGCGTCGATATTGGAAGAATCGAGTGAGGCTGCCCGGACCTGCCACAACCTGTCACAACAGTTCCTGGGTGGGCTACAGCTCCTCCGCTTCGAGACAGAGATTGTGTACGGCCCGCACCACGATCAAGACTCTGTTGATGAGTTAGGCGTACCCTAACTGAGCCTAACTGAGGATACGACGAAGACTGGAACCAACCAGCAATGAGGTCGAGCGGCTCCTACGACGACACTTTCCAGGACTACGACGACAGTACCACTTCATCGTAGCTCCGAGGGTGGCATCAGAACGGTAAGAATGTTCTAATATTGCAAGAGCACATGAGAGTGGCCACCAAGAGGCCATCTTGGCTATAGACAGATTAGGGCTAAGGATCGAACTTGTCTCGAATCAGTGTCAGTTACGGTTTCGCTTGTATAGCCGATAATTTTGGGAGTGCATTCTGAGTGCCAGATTACTGCTTGCCATTTTGTCTAGTGTGATAAAGTGTGTTTTGCCACAAGCCTGTCTCTCCTGCGTCTCTCCATCCAAACCTTTGCAAGCGCTCCTGAGATAAGTTTGTGACAGTAATAAAATTATAAAAATTCTAGGACACTGCCACTGTTCATGTGCGTCAACCATGTTTTTAATTTCAGTATGGGGCGTATAAAACGATTGTTAGTGGTGGACCCCTAATAGGCTTCCTTCTTCTAGGGTTTCATCATGCACATTTTTGACGACCTGCGCGCCTACATACGTTTTTATTCAATAATTTCTATCATTTGATTTGTGATTTATTACTCATTTTTCACAGTAACAGAAAAGAAAAGAAATTGCTCTTTCACAGGAACTGCAATTGTAACACTGTAGCCTTTTACTGGTAATGTGCCCACGACTGGTACTCGGTATCCCATGGTGCAATATAGGCCCACTTGTAATGCTTTACATATCACAAAGATTTGCTCATGCTACGCTAGCATGCAAGCAAGCAGTCATAATTTATTCTTACCGTCTCGGAGATGTATGTGTTGTAAATGTTCGCTGCAGCTTCCCTGAGAGATTCAAGATTTGTGTTTCTATCTTCAGTATGGGCTAGGCTTAGGAGCTGTTCCGCTGACACTTTGAAACCCTTTAAAAAAAAAAAAGAAATGGGACAAATGTATTTAAACAACTGCCACCCAGACGTTTTATCTGAGCAATGTCGACACCACAACTGAGAAAGCATCAGTTGCAGACAGAACTTACCTCAGCATGGAGGTAGAATGAAATGTATTTTTGTGCGCCAATACTGGTCATGTACTCTGCAGAAAAAAGAGACACTTTTCACTTTCTAGAAATTTAAGTAAGTCAGTGCCCAGAATCTGTATGCACGAGAACAAATTTGTATTCAAGGTCATCAATACAGTAGAGTAAATACGACACTAGCAACAGTCTTAATAAAATAAATTTTATTATGGCAACTCTATATTTGTAAACTTTCATGCGAAAAACAGTGCTAAAAAAAGGCGAACATTAACCATACAGAACCTTTATTAACTTACACCTGAATCAAGGAAATATCATGCGGCTATATAGCAGTATCACACAAAAAAGTAAACTGCTCTGCCATTGTGCTTCACTGAATAACGGCAATCTATGAAATGGGCAGCCTTTGTAATAAGGTAAAAACAAACTCAAGATTATTTAACGATACAAAAGTAGTGCGCATGTCATGCCACTATTGGCAGGGTACGGTAGCGGTACCAACAAGCCTATGACCTTAATGATGGCCCGAACGTTCAAACAATGGACATGCGATAACAAAGCTTTCATCTGTTGTACAACAAAATAAGACATTCTATGGGCAATGCACAAGGGGATAGTGATGACTTGCCTAGGCATTGCCCCCATTCAAGGAGTAGAACGCAGCTGTGACTTTTCGACGTCTCATCAGTCACAGTATTAACTGTCATTGACAATGCAATCACCATGGAATTCGGAGCACTATGAATGCACAGAGTGCTGCTTCCAGTTAAGCTGCATTAAAACGGCCATCACTCACTTATACACCTAACTATCAGTGTCCATTATCACATGGCAACTTATTGCCCCTCACTTTTCAGCCGATGCTCCCTGCAATTGTTAGGAGCATCGGCTAATGGCACTGGCGTGCCATTATTTACAAGAAACTCGAGAAAAAATGCTGTTTCATCATGGATGTCCGTGCTGTGACAGTGACGTATAGCATTTGACAGCCATATGGCTGAGGCTTCCGACTATTATTTTTTTTTAAGCACAATGTCATGATGATATAGTACAAAGGTAAGCTGCTGTTCTTAAAATCTAAAAACCGACAAATGTCTTGGTGGAATGGCCTTTTTTTCTACTACTCATTGATATCTAACATTTCCGATTGCCATGGTAAGAGTTATTTAAACACCAGAAGAACGGCTATGCTAAAGGTTCACAGACATGGGCCACTTCAGACATATTTTACTGCAGAAATGCTACCTCCAAAAGAATTAGCAATAGACGGTTGAAACAGAATTGAGGTTCAAGCATGAATACTATCAACAAATACCTCGTCAGTAATCATAAAAAGAACCCCTCTGTATGTGTTTCTCTCTCACTAAGAAAAATGTCAGCAAAGTTGTGGCAGAGGGTCATGGATCATCAGCAAGTGAACTTACCCATGAAATATGATAATGCAATGTTGTTGGCCAGGACAACATCAAATGGCAATTGAAATAACTCCACTCCTGGAGCAGTCAGCTTCTTCCAGTCAATTTGCTAAATAGAAATGAGAGATAATGTCAACCTTTAATGTGCAGGTCGTCATTTATTATTTTTTTCTGACAAGTTGAAACTTGCCATGCACTGATTCACAAAGTGACACTTGGGTTTCAGTCTGAAATAGGTGTTAAGGATGTGCTATTACAAGAATTGACAGCTACTTACTACAATTAAGAAATACCACTATAGAGCCCAATATCTGCTAGAAAAAGGAGAAGCTTCATCACAGAAAAGTTTCCCTCAACTACATACAATTGTGAGAAAAGTTTTAACGATGACTGATAAGATATTCCATAGTAACGGGCCTATGAATTTTATATGCCATAATGATAGTAATGTTCTTACCGTCGTTGCCTCCAGTGTCTTTTGAGCGTTGAATGGCAATTTCCTGGAGGACGATTTCTTTCACAGCTTCCAGCTCACTAATGTTGTCAGTGCACTTCAATACAGTCAGGAACTCGTCACTTGTGGGAATGTTGTTAGAACACTGCATTAGGGTTAAAGAGAATGAATAATCATCTACAGCATCGTAATTAAAGGCTCTTTAAACTTGTATCTGTCCTTTTGACTTTTTGGGGGTACTGCCCCAAGCCTAGCTACTGCATGCCATTCTTCTGTCAGGTCACTTTCGGTACCAGCACTCAAGTTGTCTAAATGATGTTCCAGTAGTGTTTGTAGCCATCATAAAGAACCAGCAGTAACAATGAAGAATAAGAATAATTCGAGCTTGTTTCATTTTACGTAACAACGTTGTTAAAGAAAAACTAGATGCCACGTCTGACATTTTAACCAGTTATTCTTAAGAAATTGATCCCTAAACAACCCTCATCATGCAAAACCAGCTAAATCAACCAAAAACCAATTCTAGCAAAACAGACCTTGCATGTCCATACTGTAAATAACAGAACTAATGCAGTGGACTATTCCCGTTAGGAGGCAGTGCTTAGAGCCAGTTGGCGAGTAGAAATAATAGACTATCACGACGAACCGCGATGCCACTGCCAACAGCAGCAGCTATCTTAACTAAGGCTTCTGTCAAAGCTTATTGTAAGCCATTGCAGTGATTATACTCGTTACGATAACTTTACGACTACCTTTGAGCAATGCAGAAAAGCTAATTCCATAAGAAACAGTGCTGATGAAATGTTGACTTGGACGCTTCTGGAAGTTTACACATCTAATAATGATGATAAAAAATTAGTGCAGCTTGTGCAAAGTTGCACAAGGCTGGTACATGGCAGAGCTGGCAGGCACGTAGCTGGTCCTGGCTTGGCTAGGCTTTTAGCCTCTTGCCTCTTTCTTTTTTCCACCCCTAGCTACACCATACTATATGTGGCTATGCTTGCTGCTTGATTTTTATATTTCTCTTTATGCCTTTCTATTTATTTCTTGACATCCGTATTTCTTTGTCTTTCTATTATTTTCTCTTTCTCCCCTTCTTTCTAGTTTTTCTCTTCCTTTCTATGTCTTTCTTCATATATAATTCTCTCTGTGGTGATTGTCCTTCACTTTTATATCTCTTTATCCATGACAAAAAGTCAGTGAACAGAGGTAGCGTGCTTGAGCCGATGTTTTGACAGGGGGACTTGTCTTCTTCAAGGCTAGAACTGATTTCCTTAGTCCTAGCGTGGATATAGTTAGTACCGCCTCCTCCAATCAGAACAAAGGAAGGGGAGAGGGCAACTGTAGATGAAGGCAAGGGTGCGGCAGGGGGCAGCCCCGCCGAACTGACGAATACTTACACACTTTGTCATGATGCCCTTTCTTCCACTCCTTTTTTTTCACCGTTGCTTACTTCCCCTCCTTCAATTTTATTGGAGGAAAGAGTACAAAGCATATACACACTAGCGATAAGCAAAGCAGTTCTAGCCCTGAGCAGGACAAGTGCACATGTCAAAACGTCGGCTTGAGTGCACAAACACTGTTTACGGATTTTTTCATCGCATGCTTCCATCTTGTTTTTCCTGCAGTTTTTCACTCTGTGTACACTGTACTCCTCACCCCTACACCTTTCCTCAACTTCGCTTTCCTTTCCTAATCACTTGCTATACTATACTATACGAGGCTTCGCTCTTTTCTGCTGGCGTGCCCAGATAGCAGAGTAGTTAAAATGTTCACTTTCGGATTGCGGTTACGCAGGTTCGAATTTCGAGTCTCCAAAAAAATTTTTTATGCGAAAAGTTTTCCTTAACTCTTTCTCTGTAATCATTCTCTTGCCAATCAGAGTTACTGCATCCCATAAAAAACAATTTAGCGCACATGTTCTGGGAATGTAGCAGAAGAGGACAAAGATGAAGAAAAGAGTGCTAGCCAGTTTATGATGACTAGTTTTTCTGACACACTGCAAACCTTGAGATGACAGCCCTGCTGTCAAATCGGGGCATTAAAAAAAAGCTTTATTATAATAAACACATTAACTATTTTCAAGGTTCCATTGCACTAATGAAACATATTGTCATTACCATAATTATGTTTTAAGGGGGCAGACTGGTCTTAGACATTTTTTGTTTATTTTTTCAGTGACCTTGATCAAACTGCACAGCACTATGCAGTTTTTTCTGTTGATTTCAAATGTTTAATTAGTTTTTCTGTAACTCATCTTGTTTCTGAAATTACTTAGGTTGATCCCCTATTGTTTAAGGCTGCTACAGAACAAAAAAGTGCTAATTAAAAGTGCTAGTTAAGATATTCGAACATAGACTAATGACTATAGGGTGAAAGTATGCAAGACTTTTTTAAAGGCCTTTCTTGGTTAGTTTACAACAAAATGAACTATATCCATCTTCAAAAGCAGTTGAAATTATATTACAATTTTGATGAGTGATTTTTTAAAAAGACTTGTGCTATGAATTCTGCTACCATACTTGCATTCTACACACAGAGGTTTCGATTGCAAGAAGAATTATTGTTATACCTGCCCTAGCTGCAGAGATATTGAGGCCTCAAAATTGAACAGTCGTAAATTTACTTCTCTGAGAAACATGAAAAGAATTGAAAACACACAGCTTCTTCAAAAAGCAACAATCATGGTGCGCATGTTTGCAATCCTCATAAAGGTGCTCATAAATTCATAGCAAAGCTTCTAACACAGGTGCCGGCAAATTATATAGAAGCCTCAAAGTCTGTTCCCCATTTTTTTGCAGGTTCTGCATGTTAACAGCACCAAGAATCTGGACAGTTAGAATGACATTACAAAAAAATTACCACTTCCCGGTGTGTGAAAATTGGCAGATAGATAGAAAAACACTTGCAGAAACCAAATGTGTCTATATAGAAAAATGAATTTTTTTGTTACTTTTCAGTCCCAATGACCAGTCTGCCCTCTTAATGTGACCACATTACTTAGAGAAGCTGTGTTTTGTCAAGACTGGCTGAGCACATAATGCATTTGACAGTGCATACTTAAGGGCAATGCAGCTCTGTTTACTTTCTTAGATTGGTGCCAACCAAATCAGAACAATGATGAGGCATAATTATATAGCTGAAGCAGTAGGTGATGGCAACTGAAATATAATGCTATTATGGCATTGCTTTAAAGTTTTCATGCTTAAACGTTGGAGAGAAAGCATGTCACTTACCATCCAGACAATGGTTTGATTAACATAGTCGGGGTCTGAGACAAGGTCTATCACAGGCAGCAGCACTGTGTTCACAAGAAGCTCCTGGAAGGAAAGTAAAACATGAACTAACCTTAGCAAACACATAAAATCAGATTGTTTTCCTTGCTCCCACAGGGAACTTACAAACAAATGGGGTCCTGAAAGCTGCTGTCTGCAAGGCTCAATTTAATGTCATTAATGCATATGTAATAGTGGCATACACGACCAGGTGCCAACCCTAAAATCTAATAAACGCATAACGTAATCAACATGATGCAGTGCAGTGATGTGACACTCCTATTGCCACTTGACAAACAGCATGATAATCCGGTTAATTTGGGAAACTGGGTCACAGGGAGAAATGCCGCAGAATATTTATTCCTATTATTGCCTCTTAGGTTGAAGCATTATGCTGCGATTTTCGAGCACTCTTGCGCAGCTCACCTCAACTTAAAATAGTGCATTGCTGCCAGAATTGACAAAACTGATTGAATGATATGTGGGGTTTAACGTCCCAAAACCACTATATGATTATGAGAGACGCTGTAGTGGAGGGCTCCGGAAATTTCGACCACCTAGGGTTCTTTAACGTGCACCCAAATCTGAGCACAAGGGCCCACAACAATTCCGCCTCCATTGGAAATGCAGCCACCGCATCCCGCGACCTGCGGGTCAGCAGCCGAGTACCTTAGCCACTAGACCACCACGGCGGGGCGAGAATTGACAAAACTGCATCCGTGTATATACGAGAGGGTTCAATTAGGGTGACTTTGCTGGACTTCCCAGATGTACAGCTGTTGAACTGATATATGCCCTTTTAAACCAAAAGCTGCTATATTACCCACAGTAAGAGCAAATCTACATGTTTAGCTCGTAAAGCTAGACTTCAATGCGTATGACATCTGCTAAACCTGAAATGTTCATGTGAATGATACAGCACTCTTGCTAATGCACTTGACGAACTAGTTCACTGAGGTTCAGTGTCACTTCAATGCCTTGGAAACCATAAGCCCTGCACTACCCACCCCTCTTCCTTCTGATGTACTGTTTGCTGTGAACTCTTTCCTAAACACGCCTTCATGTGTTATGCGAAATGAAGGGTCATGTGACAATGACGAAATGAAGAATTACCGAGGTACATTTACTGTGCAATTTCTGCAAGTGTGCACAAATCGTATGGACTGTACTATTACCTGGGATATTTTCTTCAGTTCTCAGTTTGTGAAACAATTTTAATGCAATCACTGATGACTTACTCTTAGGAATATCCTCATGACTTTGTTTTGGAAGTCTTCTGGCGGCAGAACCAAGTAAAGAAGCACTTCTCCGACTTGTTGGAGGTACTCTGTAAACAAGCGCACAGAAAGTTTACAAACAACTTGGCAAGGACCCGATAATGTGAAAATGTGCAAAAGCATATTTCGCTTTGTTTTAACTGAACTATTACAACCATGCAAAATGATCACATTTGTATGACTAAAGCACTTGAATTTATACAATGCCAAAAAAAAATTTAGCTTGGCTAAGAATGTGACAGCTCTAAAGTGTAGACCTATTTACTGAAGGCTCCCTGAGCGCCGCCATAAGTCCTATCTGGGTTGTTGTTAACATCCGTGACTCCACAAAAGAACACTGCTGAGGCGTTGAAGCCAGCTTTTGGCTCCGGTGCAACAGCTCAAAAAGAAGGGGATCCTCCTCTCCATTATAGGTCCATATCTCATGCACACTTGTTTCATATCATCTTTACTAGATGTAACACGAACAAGGCTGTTTTTCCTGTTTACTTCAAATGAGCAAGCAGTGAAATAAACATATGCACTTTAAAGAATATCTGTCATCCCAAATACCTTCAATAGTGTTAGAAACACACTGTTCAAAACTGTATATTCCAGAAAAAAACAAAACAGCCCCTGTCATAGGCTGCAGTTGGTGCAAAATAATCACTTCAGATAAATACATTTTTTTCCCCTCTAAACAAGCAAAGAAATTGCCACTCTGATTTCAGGAGACATAATGCACTCTTTCACATGTGGCTTTGTACTGTAAACACAATTTCTTCTCACCCAATTCTCGCTCTTTTGAAATGCAGACTAGATCACGACACATGCTACGCTCCATGGTGGTTTCTAAACTGAAGAACAGCGTAAGCAAATCTTGGCTTTTCCCTCCAAAATCTGAAAATAAAGTAGAAGAGAGAGAGAAGGGAATTCATACACATTAATGCATGCCGGAGAAAAGTTGTCACCGACAAAAAGCTTTGTTTCCAAAGACAGAGCTTTGAGACACTGTACACATATGCAAATGGCATTTTTTAATTCTGCACATGCCGATTAGGAGTAAGCAGCTCATCAGATGGAAAAACGCCAAGCCTACGCAAGACGCGCAGCAAAGTCACAGCGAAAGCTGGAAGAGCGGCCTTTCAGAGCTTTTTCTAAAATAAACACTCTTTAGGTAACTGCTACAGCACACTTGCTGGGTACCCACTATGCCATAAATAATCTTAATTTTTAACAGGCCTACAAAGCTATTGCTTATGCCATCAACTTTACGATTACAGTGGTTTGACTGCCTCAGCTTGACCCCTTACAATGCCAAGAGGTATGTACAGTAGCCGAGTTGTTCCAAATCTTGAATGGCTCCATAAGTGTTACAATAGCCAAGCATGTAGCACAGCCAGTTTCAGAAAATGTTGTAAAGACTACATGGTAATTAAAACCATTGGGGTGGCAGTTGCTACAAATATCAACACTTGTAGCTATGGCAGTTGCTCCTTCAAACGATACTTCGAAGATTGCGATAAATTGATCAACACTTATGCTTTAATATTTAAATGAAGACAGAAAAATGGCGGGCCAAAGCTGTAATTTGGTCATCCTTGAAATTCAGTGGCCAGGATTCCAATGATATAATGCAGAAAAAAACACAATTACAGATCACATTATCAATATAAAACTAACAATATAACACATGCATAACAATAACACTGAATAATTACTATATTATCACATGACAGTATTGCAGTAACTAATTTCAACTGTAACTTGCTTGAAGTATAGGTACATAAATTAAAATAGAAAGACTAATCTTTTCATGCTTGCATGCGATCATTGTGAATGAACTTGTATGAATCAATGAACGTTTCCAAATAAAGTTGGTTAGCCAGTTAGCCTTTGTCCCATTTCCATTTTCTTTTTACCTTCCGACTCTGACTGAATGCTGCCCGAAAGAGCAACTTTGACCGCGTAATTAGTTCAATGCATTCAACTGCGCTTCTGTAGCTCTGGCCATTCTAATGAAAGATTGCAGGTGCAGACATAGAACTCTAAACTGTGGTTCTGAAAATGGTGTCTGAAATATAAATCTGAAAGCTCTAGGTTTCAAAAAGGCGGTCGCCGGGTAACCCAGAAGAATGTGAAAACACTCGAGACTGTGAATTTTGATGAGTGCGCCAGAAACGTGGCATTAACAAAATTGTCAAAAAGAAGAGCTCCCTCTAATGATTTTATGAGTGTGGCCACTTGTGAACTTGTGTCCTGTATCGCATTTACCAATTATAATGTCTTTTATTTATGTGCTTCTTCTCCTTCCTGCCTGATGTCTAGGTAAGAAAATTATGGGTGCATGTGCACAGATAGAAATGGGTTGAACCATAATGCTCTACCCATTGTTTAGTTTTTTTGAACTTCTATTCCCTTGCCATGTGAATTTTTGTGCTCATTACCAATATGGTTACCAGTACGGGTAACTGAGCTATTAAATATCTGACGCTGAAACCACTGAGATTACTTGAGCAATCACAGCGAGAAGAACCTTTCTCACTCTGAATACATCCAAAAGATCCTGTAGCTATGCATGCTATCACATAAGACTATCTTTTATGAAACATGTATTCGCGCTTTTAAATAAGGCAGTTCCCTCTCACCATCGTCTTTCTTATGCTTTAGCCTAGACTGCGCTTGGCGAAAGAGACGTAGATGGGATGCAAAATCATCGACTAGCTGAATGGTGAGGTACTGGACCCAATCCACATTTTTGGCCCTGCAAAAAATGCACCAAGGTTAAGCAATGTGAATTAAAAAAAAAAAGACTTGCTCATCAATTAGCTGGCATAGTCAACTCCACAAAGACACGGAAGAGAGAGAAAGAGTAAGATAATAAATTCAAAATAGAAGAAGACATATTTCACTTTATCATTAGCACTTTGTTTTCGAGTCCTGACTGTGTCGAGAACTGGGGCTCTCAAAATCAACTAATATTGGCAAAGGTGGAAACACCCAAAGAGTGTGATGCGGTAGGAAGATATTTAAGACAAACATTACTATGTGAAAAAAAAAAAAAACATATATCAAATTGTGATGAAAAAACAAACAATGGAAAATTAAGTTACACACTATAATAATGCTATACCATATACACTGGTATAGTCTGATTAGATGAGATAATGAGCATTTCACGTCGTAAGATGCGACCAAAGATGCTTTTTTATAATGTAAAGATAAGCAAATTGTTAAAGCACAAGGATAGAAACAGAAGGAAAATAAAACCCCCCAAAATAAAAATGTAGAACTGTGGATTACACTGTGGCAGTCCCTTTTCTTCTGCCTACAACATTCTTTCAAGGTAGCATTTTAGAACAAAGGTACCTTTTTCAATTGTCAACAATTTTGGGCACAGCAAAGCTGGCCTATATAATTTTAAATAACTCGCACTGGCAAAAAATTAATGTGCTTGACACAACAAGAAAAAGTTAGTAATGGCGGAAAACTACATTACAACAAACTAATGTCTCTATATGCAACTGTTATTTTTAACTAATTACGAGCAATGTAAAAAATTAATAATAATAATAATATCTGGGGTTTTATGTCCCAAAACCACGATATGATTATGAGACGCTCATAGTGGAGGTCTCGAGAAATATTGACCACCTGGTGTTCTTTAGCATGCACTGACATCACACAAACAATGTAGTAAATTAAAGACGTTAGTTGAAAACAACATAAAAATAGTGCACTGCAGTTCAATTTGTCATACAAAAAGAAATAACAAACAAAAATGTAAATTAAGAGCAAATTTGAACTAAACATATTGCTTTCTAGAAAATTGTTTTTCTTCTGCCAGAATGAAAATGCGCCCGACATTTCGACTCCACAAATGTCCCAACAACATAACCAAATTTTGTTTTACGGGCATGCCACTAAAAAATGAAAGAAAATGACAACATCGCTTTATGCACAACATTACCTCATTGATAGATTGACAATAACTTGATGAACAAGGTCACGAATGTGGTCCGTGAAAGCCTCATCATTTGAGAGGTCAAGATACCAGTTGTACACGTAGTCACGGAGAATGTAGTTCAATACCTGGAAAGAAAACGGTTGAAGCATTGCCACATCAATTCCAACAGACACAGACTTGATAACAAACTCTACCTTGAAATTCAGAAGCAAATATCAATGACATGATAGGGACATTTCCTATATATAATGCCCCCCTCCCCCCCAGGAGCGAAATTGACATAAAATGCTGGATATCATACCTCTGATAATGGGTCATCTATGGCTGGATGCCCGGTCAAATACCTTACGAAACGAGTCTTCTTCGGTGGCTTTAGAATGGCTGTTGTAATCTAAAACAAAATAGTTGAAAAGTAGGCATCCACTGAGCAGTGTTGATATCACAAGGTAAACAGCACATGAAACTTAACACAAAATCAACAAAGCAAATGTCTATACACTGCTGTAGTTAAGATTATATAAGAAATGGATGAAGGCACACGAGTGTTCAGTGAATTTCACACTCCAACACCTAACAAGCTGTAACGGCTGCCATACTACAGGATGGTTTCAAGATCTTGGAATTTTTTACTTATTTTTTAGTTCTTGAAGATACTCTTGGCACTCAAGCAACAAAATCATTTTGCTTCCAACTTACGAATATGCAACTTCTATCATAAGAGTATCATAACAAGAAAGATTGTTGCTGCAAAAATGAGGCTATTATGAAAATGATGGTTTGTGAATTGATTTGTTCTATCTTCTCTGGTAGCAACCTCAGACATTCTTGTGTGTTTAATTACGCTTATGTTTCAAAATGCCTAAACAATCGTAGTTTACTAAACAGAATATGGACAAGCACAGTCGTTGCGAATTGTTGAATTCCTTTTTTCCTTCGAGAGACATGCAATTTACAGACAGAAGTGTCCCGACAAGTGGCCGAAAGTATTAGATTGTTCGATTGGGCTGCATCACATGGTGCAACAAAGGCAGTACACACCGTGCTCACGAAAGGCAATATATTTAAATCTTGTTACCACATTTTCAACCCTATTGTGTTCTAAAAAACTCTGGTCCCATTTTCTTGCAACACACTATAGGTTTCAAAAAATGTGCCAGCATCCACATCAATGGCTATATGTAACAGCTGAAAATGGCATGAGCACGATACGGGAGGGTCTCTACAAGGTAAAGCAAAAGTGTCTGTCTTGTCAAACATGCACTTGGTGAGCTGGCTAACTGTCGGTGGGGCGACTTCACGAGAATGCATGTAGGCCGTCAGCGATACAAACGCGAAAAAAAGTTTTTCTTGTATAAGTAAGTTAGAATTGCAAAATGCCAAAGGTACCACTGTTACAGCCAGAGGACGCCTGGTAAGTGAGAAAGTGCAAAAAAAGAAAATACAGGTGGTGACACTACCTTAGAGTTCCAGCACAAGCTCTCCCATAAAATGACAGATCTTGACAGCATGTGCTAGGGCCTATGTAATCATTCATTGGTAAACATCGTTTTGACTGCACCAAGAAGGATGCAAAGTGTTCACCAAGCTCATTTTGAAAAATTTTGTTGATCCAATATGGCAAAAATATACAAGAGACTTCTAAGTTCATGAGATTGAACTGACGTTCCCATGCTGAAGTTTTGATAATACTTCATGAATAAAAACTTTGACCTTCATTTTCCCGTCTCATAATAATCCTGGGTTGGCAAAATGAGTGACTAGAGAGTTTTGAGGTGTTAATTATTCTATCTAAACTGATTTGACTCACCACTTTATTGCCGCTTTAAGGAAGCATACCGCTATCTAGCACTGTGATTGTCATATACTAATACTAGTCCTACCAATCTGATCAATGAAAGCAATGGTTGTTGCAGCATGCACTACATCCAGTCACCATTTTCTTCTTTAGTTTAGTGCTGTGAAAGTAATTTCCTTGTCAGAAAAAAAAATATATACGCTCAGATTTTATGCATCCCTGGATGGTGCAATTTTCTGTGGTCCCCTAAGAAACACAATTGGGTTGTATAAATGAAGGAGGGGAATTGTTTAGGGCTCATTTCTTTATTTGACCGAAACCTTAATGAAAGCCAACAGATAACGGAGCCAAGAAAGACATGGGGAACATTATTTGCACTGTTTTAAGTGTATTGTAATAATCATGATATAAATGTGAAGAAAATGAAGTGGACGAAAAGATGAATTGCCACTGGCCGGGACCGAACCAGCGACCTTCAGATAGTGAAGTAATGCTGTATTTTTGTACACTTTATTCACATATATATCATAACTACTAAAATACAAGTAAAACAGTACAGTTAACATTACCTATACATTTCCTTGGTGTCCTTATCAGCTGGTTTTCATTAGTAGGGCAATAGAGTACTTTAATGAGTATATTCAATTTGAAAGGTGTAAGGCCGTATTAAGCCAGAAGTACAAAATTCCGGCGAATATATCTGCCACATGTCATTTATACGCCAGGCAGACAGACGTGCTTGAGGCTCCCACTGACACTGATGCTGTAACAGTTTTAACCAGAAACTTGAGTAGCAAAGTTTCATCATCTGCGTAGCAAGAATCGACATTTTAAAGCCAGACATTTCAAAGCAAACCGCCACAGCCACCGAGTCGCTGCAGACGGTACGGTTTCTGTCACGCCACGTGCTAGTTTCAGTGCGAATGTGCAATGCTTTTAAAGAAGGACGGAAAAAAAAAAGAAAGAGGGGGACAGCAGATTTTCTGGATGGAAACAATGCACAATGGCTTGACAGTGACAAGACCCAGTTTTGAGACGTTTTACAGCCCGCTTCATTGTCAAGGACCACCATCGAAGCATAACGGGGTGAGCGCACAGTACTGTATAGTGGAAAGCCGTTGAGCTATTGACTGATGCAGCACCTGCTGGAGGCTCCTTTCATCCAGTCTGTATAAGCACGAACTGCAGGCTTATTTAGCCAGAAAGGCTGAGGTCACTTCTTAATTCAGCAATGACATCGCAAAGCAGGTGGCCTGGTTACCTTAAAGACTCTAAATAAGAACACTGAATCAGTTTAGCACTGTAATGTTTTCTTTTAAAAGCATATTTTTTTATTAATTCTGTACTCGGAAGCTTTTTGCTAAGAGAAAAAAGGAACAATAAACATTCACTTTCTTATAACATCTTCGGCCAGCGGCACCGGTGGCGTTTTCTGAGCACTCGTGTAGTCCCGTACATACATCTGAGCACCATGCGTGCAGTGCCGCATGTTCGATTGGGCCAGTTACAACACGAGTTCACGCCACCGCTGCACAGAGGGGGTCGATAGTGGAGAGTGGTGCAATCCCATCAGCCCGCACGCGCTAGCAGACGACGTGGTGACGTTCTATCATCGCAGGCGTAATTTACAGCTGGCACTGCCGCAGAACACGGCTGGGCTGAATAGAAAACGTGCCTGAGCATCGTCTGACCATACCCGCACAAGGCTACTTTTGCTGCCAGGATTTCAGTGGACACCGAAGGCGACGTGAAAATTACCGTAACCCTCGCCAGGTTGGTACAGAACTGATGCAGCGCAACCTCCTGGAGAACAGACGCACACACACTGGATCCGTAGCGTCTTGTAAGTGTCGCTCTTTGGTTTTCTGTTTGCTCTCTTATTCCCAGTACAGAGGACCCTGGAAATTGTCGTCTGCTGAATGGCGTCTTTCGCAGACGGCGCTGCTGTCGCGGATTCAAATCTTGTGGTTCACACGTTCGTCTGGCTCATAGCATGGCTTGAAACTAGGGCGGTGTTTGAGGTAACTTCCCTTCCACAGCCACCATGCCAGTGCACCTCAGCCGAAGATTCCATTAAAGTGCAAGCTCGAAACTTCCCATGCCAAAAATCTGTAGCACGAGATCATGAATTTCTTTTCTTGGGTTGGGTCACTGCGGTAAAGTAATCTACAAAAAGTTTTTTTTTTTTCGTCCCCAGTAATTAGTGTTGTTTCTGCCTCATAATTACTACATTTTAAGCAAGTGTGCTAATGTGTCACAAATTTCAAAGCAGTGTGGCATGTTTGGGTCAACAGTGTTCAGTGACTGTTGTCAAAACCCTCTAGGCTGTCTACAATTTATTTTGGAATGTAATGTAACAACTGTCTATTGAGAAATGAATTATTCAAAGCAAACACTATAAATCCTCGAACGCAACAAGGAACCAGTGTGGGAACTTGAAACCCATGTTTTGTTCCTGCATCTTTTTTCGCAAACCAAGATGCTGCTCATGGTTAGATGTATATGACAACTGACCCAGCACCCAGCACTGCTCGTCAGTGCCCAGTTTATCACACAGTGAAGGAGATGCACTGTGGCATTTTCTTTCTTTCACAGAACCAACAACATCATCATAATTTTTTAAATGACGTTCACTGTCAACAGCTGTTGCTTATGTACAAGAAAAGTTTACTAGTTAATCTTTATAGTCTTGAGCTGCAGATATGTGTAGCCACAGAAACTTCAATATGTCAACCTCAACATCAATTAAAGCAATAGTTGAGAGCCTTTTTATCGCCCTTCGTGCCATGTGTTGTTCTTGTCATTAACGAAAGGGCAGTAGAATGGAGGCCATCTGTCCTGAATTAAGATCCCTACGCCCACACACTGTGCTTCTTGTATGAGTGAGCCAAGTTTCTATAAATAACATCTGAAGTCCTCAGATGCAATAAAAAACAAACATTTGGTTTCTTAAACAAACAAACAAACAAACAAACAAACAGAAAAACAAACTAAGAACATACATATCTGCCATAGACAAAGATCACTGCACAGCACTGCATATCAATTATTTCATTGTTTGTTAAAATAGACATGCATTTTTGCAAGTTCACCTCCATGGTGTGATTGCAATTCACAAATGCATGTGTATTTGCTGGCATCTTCACTATTAAGACGAGATGCAATTAAAAAGAAATTTTCTTTGCTCTGTAGGCTAGGGAAATAAAATTTTAGCTGTATATAGACTTTTAAGATAATTTCGAGTATGCAATAATTTTATAGTAGGTTGCACAGTTTTTGTTTTGTGCTATGACAAAGTGTAAGGTATAGTTCATTATAGACAAATTTTTATGGCACTAAACCTTATTGATCTGAGCAATTAGTGGCAGATATTGCTCCACATTAATTGTAGAATACAAATAAACATAAAAAAGTGCATGTAAAACATTTTAATGGACAAGAGAAATTGTAATGTGAGAATTCCAGGAATCATCAAACCATACAACTTCTTACGTAAAGGTCGTAATAGTTATACAGCCAATATCAAATTTTAAACAAGATACTTGCACTCGTCGCATGTTAAGGAATACATGGGCAAAACTTCATCCCAATTGAGCAATCAGAAGTACTACAAACGTGATGTCCAAACTCAAGGAGTTGCCCAAGAATGAACCACGAGAAAAACGCATTTTAAAGGTATAAGTGAAAGCCAATCTATGTGGAGAAGATACATTTCTAAGATGATTTCTTCCATCATGAAAGCTTGGCAACCATGGTTATTTTGAGCATGTGAATTTAGTTGACTCCTCATGTGAAATGCAATGGCAAACAGCCAGATGACCATTTCCAGGGGACTCTAGACAATAAGCTCTCTTTAAAGTTTTAAGTAGCCACCTTGAGCACTTTAAAAACAACTTTAGGCTACTTTCAGATTAGTTTCAATCTCCCCTCTTTTTTTTTTTTCATGAAAGTAGAGAAACTAATTTTGTGAAAGTAAATAAAAACAAAAGAAATATGTAATTTAGGAAAAACTTGCATTTTTTTATTCGCATCTCCTCTTAAAATAGACAAGAACAAAAAGTTGCGACTGATGTTCTTTCCTGCCTTTGTTTTCACTTCACTTCATTCATTACACCATGATAAAAAATATTCTTGGCACTGCTACAATATCACGCTATGTGAATGCGAGTTGTGCAACCACAGGAGTCAACTTCTTGATTTACTATAAGTGGCTCGGAATGCGGCTCACAAAAGCCAGTTTATTACTTGAAATAAAAGGAAAAAGCACAAGAAACACTGCCATTGAGGAATGGCTGCCAGGACACCATTTTGAATAACCAGAAAAGCTAACCTTCTCGGGCATCTGTCAACGCAATCCATAATAGAATAGGTTTTCTGGAATGCTAAGTGGCCAAATCTTTGAAACGACTGCCAATTATGTGTGGGACTCTGTAGGTCAAAGTAAGTATCTGGAGAAGTAGGCCACACCACTGGCACAAAAATGCATGAGCAGGTGAGATATGAACTTGGCAGAGAAAGGGTTGACTGCAATAAATGAGGACAGGTTACACATAGCGCCGCTCACAACGAAGTTTAAGATCATGAACAGACTAAGCGAGTACAGTTATGCCAATGGTCAAGAGAACAGCAATCCATCCACTTACTTGGGGTAGGCCTTTGACACAGTGGTTTTCTGGAATGTGTGGTAGAACAGGGTCATAGGATGGCTCTAGCTGCTGCTGGTACTCCATCAAGTAGCCCATAAATATGATGCTTGAAGAATGAACAGATCAAAACAAGCAATAAGCTTTGGTGAAATCTAATACCCCTACTCCAAGGGTCACTTTATAGTCATTTCATAGCAAGTGCATTTCACTACTAGCGAGTGCACTTCACTACTTGCAGGCTGTTACATGGAAGTGGTTAGGGATGTTTGGTGCAAAACACACTTTCATAAAAGTTTGTCTGGTACGAACTCGTTTCACTAGCTTGAAGTTAATAGTGGCTAAAAAGGAAATAAAGCAATATCAAAGGCACAGTCAGCAGTGTTCTTAAGCCACTGTTTCTGATGTTTTGGAATGTTTGCATGTAATTGACTTATCTATCTACTACGTATTTATTACATACTGAAGAGCCTTGGGTGAAAGCAGGAGGACTCAGGTTGGTAACAATTTTACAGACTTAATACAAAACAAACATATTATGGATGCAAAAATACAATGTAATATAGAAAAAAATTACTATTGCTGTGCAATGGCTGCAGTTTTACATCCGAGCAACAGCTGTCATAGCGACAGTTTACCTCATTCACACTTAAGTTTATTTTAAACACAGTTTATAGCTATATCACCCTATTATTAAGCTAAAACTGTCTATATTAGCATATGTATGTTGTACCTGATGGTTCATCCACTGCCTTTACCATAACTTTCAAAAACCCTTTTCTTTCTAGTATAGCAGCACACTAATAAAGAGACATTCAATGCACTAAACTGTGCTAGCTCAGAACGACAATAAAGCATGTACATATGGAGCATCAGAGCAACTTCTTGTTGCGCATCATTAGCAACAATATAAATGCTTACAACTAAAACTAAGCACAGAGTTCTCAATAAGCAATTAATGGTTATGAGTTCTGTGACAACAGTCTGCTTCGAAGCAAAATATGACTTTTATAAGTGCAACAGTGGCAACAAATAAACCCCAAGCATATTCTAAGAAGCTAAATGTGGCCTTAAGTTCATAATGGCAGCTCGGATGAAACTAAGCTGTTATGGTGTCATGATGTTGCTGATTAAACTCATTACAATACCAGCAACTCATGCCATTGTCGTCAACAACGTGAAACAAACAAAGAAGAGGCACTATATGAATCCTGCAATAAGGTTTTGTGACTTTGTTGCTGTCAAAATATGGCTGTAGAGACAGAGACCCAAGAGCCATAACCATATAGCTATTGCATGAGATGCCAGGTCAAATCTTGTACACACGGGCATTGTTAACGTGTGCCTGACTGAACAGTGGGGCAATGTGCAATCACTACAGCCTTGTTTTCCTCAATGACCTCGAGCAAAAGTCAGGTTTCTCGGACAACGAACCGAAGACAAGCCTGCCACGATGTACTTGTATTTAAGACCAAACAACACTTCCGTCCTGATCGAGTCACGGTTGCTTTCATCAGGAACCAAAACCTCAGTACATGGGTGCTTTCGGAGGTGTAGGTTTAAAATTTTCCAGGGAAGCGGCGTGTGTGGAGATATGCGGGACTGTAATCCCGAGGAAATGTGCATTGCTGGGAGAAACGAGAAATGAATCCATGCTTTTGATGAATCAACTTGGCGAATGAAACCATGCACTTCAGGGTACCTTACTATTTATGTTGCACACAACAGCACCAGATGTAAATAAGTAATTTGCAAATCTCGAACAGCTACATTTGTAATAATTACAAATTGATGGGCATACACTATGTTTACTTATGCATTACAGCTACGAATAGCATCAGGAATAGATAGAAAAAATTCTTTGTGGAGAACTCCTCAATGACTTAAATGATCATCATAAAATCACTACTGCCTCCTACTCAAATCAACACAGTATGCTGGACTACATGGCCTTTGATGTTTTATGTTTACACAATACCCTTCGCAAAGACATTTATTACACTTCTGCAGCACCATTTTACCTCCATGGCCACAGTTCACACTTGAAAATACTTATAAAGTGTAACAAAAATATAGGCGAAGATTGGCTATTTTATTTCAAATTTCAAAATGTCTAACATTTGCACAAACGTATAACCAGCTAATTGCACATTACTCAAGAGGGGAGGATCAAGGATTTTTGTTTTTACATCATCTTACAACAGACACATCCTTTGAATGCTCACATGCCAGCCACTGTAGAACAAGTACCCACAAAACATGACAATCTTTCCAACGTACGAAGCATTTACTGTCATGCGAGAGTGGGTATACTCACCCTAAGATAGTTACGAAAATGCAGAGTGGAAGTAAAAAGCAGGCCCAAAATCCAAATGTTGACCAGAAAAGAACTATGGCCAACCCCACCCATCCAAAGGCTCCCAGCGACATCTGGAACACAAGCACATTATTTTTTGTACATTTACGAACAGCTAGGTGAGGTCCCAGCTAACAGGTCGACTAGGCGGCATGTACTAGAATAAGTATATGGCTATACTGTTTGTTCTGGTAAATTGTCCCAACCACAAAGAAAACAGGTAGGATGAACTAGTGATGCATTTTATATACACATTCAATGACATTAATACTGTATGCTTGAGTGCTACATACTATGATAAAATGCTAGTAGAGTGAAAGATGACACCAACTGGCGTTGAAAGCAGGCACTCACATCGATGACACTGTTTCTATTAAACAACAAGATGAGATGGATCATGTGGTGCTTGTCTATAAACTGAACTCTTGTAGTAAATTCCGACGAAGTGTCAATGAATTTCCTAAACTTACACAATATTATTACAAGCTAGTGTGGACTTCAATGAAAGATCATCAATTTGATACTTGGTGTGTATTCGATAGGGATTCCGTACAACACGTTCCTATTTCATTTTTCCTAAAAATAACTGAATCGCTGGTTAAAGCCTATGTACCAATTTATGGTTGTTGGCATTAAACACAACAGGAAAAAATAAAAAAAAATAAAATCAAACACAGTAGCGCCTTTACTCATTATTTAGATCGAATGAAGCTGTACCCGCTATCGAGAGGAGTGAAACTGATCCTCCACTACGTAGAAAGAGGGTTCAATTTACCCACCGCTTGCAAATCACGTGTTTTTCGTCCCTGGCACTACTGGAAAAAAAACAGCAAAAACAAGACGCTCCCAGAAATATGTCCATCGTGACTCATCGCGTGTTTGTTTCGTTATTTTAAAAAAGAAAAGCTCAAAATAGTTTGACAGCCGAGGTTCATCAACAGAGCTGGACTGTGACGCTACGGCGTTGCGTATACATCTATCCGAAACCTATTGGTCAGACAGCTTCGGATGCTGCAGGTTTTCAAAAAAAGAAAAAAAAAAGGAACCTGAAAAAGCTGCCAGGAAAAAAAAAGGGTTGGGGCGGGAGTACCAAACAGAGATAACGGAAAGTACAACTGAACACTGAAAGGATTTCACGCCCGGCGTCAACCTAACACAGAGATAGCGCACAGGCAATGAATGAAAGCACAGTGCAGGGGGCAGAGTCGGCGAACCGATCAAACGCGCACTGGTAAAATGCGTGACTCAGAATGTCTTCCGAATGGTACGTGTCACAGACTTGGCAAATTGTTCCGAAAGACAGGACACGCTGCCAACACGCCGGTTTCAAACAGTAAAACATAACATTCGCGCATAAGCGCAAGGTAAAGCACTAAGACGGGTGATGTTACGATTTATTGCTACCATTTCCAAATCCTTTGACGCAGTGCCACAACACACTCGGCGTTCTCGAATGCGGGTTAGTACGTTATGTCCGCAATGACGGAACTCACGGCAAAATACCAGAAAGTGGGGGGGAAACCTATTCCGTAACGGGGCGGTGAAGGAGCGACGTAGAAAACCGTAATGAGCGTATCGGCCGGACAAGTATTCACGCAGGTATCCCGAACAGCCAGCGACATCACGAGCAGCGTATGCTATCTACTTACATTTAAAGTCGCTCTACCTACGTCCCGAAACTCATCAGATTGTTTTCTTCCCGGTGAACCTAGAGGAAAAACGTCATAGTCGACGGCCGATATGGAACGGACCACCGCACAAGGTCAGCCATGTTGGGTTGACGAGTGCGCGAATTCCCCGTAAAGCGGCGCCCTTGGCGATGCTCTTGCCATCTAGTGCGCATATTTGCAACCTAACAACAAAACATCCCCTCTCGGAATGTGTTGGCGCGCCATTTGAATATAATGTCCACCAGGTTAGTCATAGATTGATTGATTGATTTGATTTGTGGGGTTTAACGTCCCAAAACCACCATATGATTATGAGAGACGCCGTAGTGGAGGGCTCCGGAAATTTTGACCACCTGGGGTTCTTTAACGTGCACCCAAATCTGAGCACACGGGCCTACGCAGGTTAGTCATAAGGGCAATTACAAATGTTTTGTGGGGATGTCTACTCGAAAAGTGAAGGTGCATCTCTTGACTGCAGAAATTTGAAAACAACAGCCGGGGAACTTATGCGTTGTGTTTCACCTATGTTTACGCTTGAGGATCGGGAGGTTCAAAGTTGGGAAAAGAGGGGTGGGGCTGCAAGCAAAAACACGAGCCCCCTCCTTTCGGCGCTGCTTGTGGGATACAAGTGCTCATATTGAACGATTTCGAGGAAAAGTGATGGCCGAAACGCACGTGCACTATAGTGACGCAGTTTGCATTGTAGGTACATATGTGATGCGTTACATACGGAAAAATTGTTTTAAAGTATTATTAAAGTTTTATAGTATTTAAAGTATTATTAAAGTATTAAAATACTAGGCGGTCAATATTTCCAAAGCCCTCCACTACGGCGTCACTCATGTGGCTGTTCTGGTGCGTTAAGCCCCACATACCAATCGATTAGGCAATCAATATCTGTACTATGTAACGATTTTTCTGCTAGTAAAAACAAAAAAAAAGTCATTCCAGTTGGAAATATTCTAACTGGGACCAGTTCAAGTGGTTTATGAGCCGAATTGGCAGTGAGGACCAGTTGCCAACCGGTCATAACAGGTCCCTCTGGAATTTAATACGACCAAGCCCCCTCACCGGTGTTACTTCAACCCCCCTCCCCCCCCCCCCCGAAAAAAAAATAGAGTGTCTGGATCCGCCCCTGTTTGCCAAGGAGTAGTACTCACGTCGAGCGACACGATTAGTCCATCAGCCTTATCGCGCAGACTATGCACACACGCACGCGGAAGTGAAAGTGATATCACCACGCGACTATACGCCGTCTCGCATTCAATTTCACCGCGCTCACGACGACGTATCCAATCACAGCCGTGTTGCCGCCATGATGCGAGCGCCCACGGAGGAAGGAAAGGTAGGAGAGGGCATGCCCAGCCGCCGCGCTACGTGAAAAGTGTGGCGGAAATGACATCATGGCGGCCATAATCACTGGGCACAATGGCGGCGTTGTTATGGTTACATGTTGCGCAGTGGAGCAACCTTTCCTTCCTCCGTGCGAGCGCCCCTGGTAACCCTTCCTCCATGCCCCGTCCTTATACGTATCTGCAATATTTGAGAGAAGCGAAACGAGCAGCACGAGAGTGCTTCGTGTGCACCCTTGCTACCTTCGAGAGTGGAGATTTGCATGCTGCAGGTGGAACGAAGGAACCTGTCCGAAAAAGGACAAACGCCCACGAACGCGCCTGTGGGAAGCGCGTGTTTGAGTGGACAAGAAGATAGCGCAACAATCCCGCCGACGATCGATCAGTGCAGTGTTGAAATGTTGACCGAGTGGCAGCGCTGACGTTTTCGCACACGGTGTTTCTTTGATAACCGCCGCAAATGTACCACATGCGTTTCCAGCGCCACGCATGTTTTTGTAGCCATTTTTATCAACGCTGCTCTCACGCAATACCATGGCCGCCGCAGAGCGAGCTGGGAGCAAACTCGTCTGCCCGAGAAGCTTGGGGGGTCATTCTGCATAGCCCCCCCCCGCTTGAAAGTTTGTGGCGGTCGCATTTCGACGTAGACGAAATGCTAGATAGACGTGTGGCAGCTTGGGCTAGTTGGTATGGCATCACGATAGTTATAGCGCGAGAACAAAACGCCGACACAGAGACAAGAAGGAGCACTCGTGTCCTTCTTGTCTCTGTGTCGTCGTTTTGTTCTCGCGCTATAACTATCGTCATGATAGATAGACGTTGTGCTTAGATTTAGGTGCACGTTAAAGAGCACCAGATGGTAAAATTTTAGAACCCTTCATTATGGCGTCCCTCATCCCCATACCATAGTTTTTGGACATAAAAACCCAAGAATTGTTGTTGTTATCTCTTGAAAAATGAAGTAGTTCAGCTTTGCAAAATAATTAAATTCAGCGTTGGACGGAATCCTGTTCGGCCAGCAGGAGACACTGTAAAGAACGAACAGAAACCGACCCCAATAAATACAGTTTAAAACAACCATGCAAAACAAGAACATCAAGTTCACTCAAGTGGAGGGCTCCGGAAATTTCGACCACCTAGGGTTTTCTAGCGGGCACCCAAATATGAGCACACGAGCCTACGGCATTTTCGCCTACATCGAAAATGGAGCTGCGGCAGCCGGCATTCGATCCCGCGACCTACGGGTCAGCAGCCGAGTACCTTAGCCACTAGACCACCGCGGCGGAGCAAGGTTGAATAAATTTACACAACGCATCAAATACGTTCCTGTGACAGTGTCTCGAAACAGAGGCACCAAAGTTTGGAACAGTTGCTGTGGTTAAACGTAAACCTTTATGCTTCGGAATTATAATAACGAGAAGTCTTTTCCTAATTGATGAATAGTTACGACATGATACAAAACAATGTTCAATAGCATCTGTTTCTTACCGAAATGGACAAAGGGGAGATGTCGCCAGACTATAGCTCTGTGTAAATATAGTTTTAATGGGAAGACACAGCATCGACATCTGGTAACGATCACTTCAAACGGTTTCGACCGACCCCATTGAGGTTTCCATGAAAATTGGGGGTGCTGATATTCTCTCCATACCACATATGTAAAAAATGTTAATTTTCTATACTCAATCACTGTTATGTATTATATTCGTGGGAGTACGAAAATCATTGGTCCATCAAGTAATGCTAGCTCTAAAGAACCGACCAGTTCATTGGATTGTAACACGCAGTGACCTGGGACCCTCAATGATTATAAGCGTTTCAGCTGTGTCGGTATTAATATGCGGAAAATTACTAGGGCTCGCGAATGTTCTTAAGTTGTGAGAGCTGTACACACCAAAAGTGAATCTGTTTGCGCTGGTTTTGTTCGAAGGGAGTTTTTGTAGCGTCAAAATGAGCTGTTGCTTGCTCCTATATTTTTCGCCTTTGCGCACTCTTCCCAGTTTAACGTGATATTATTAAATAGCTCGTTCCGCAGAAATTCTAGTGTCGACGTCGTTGGTTGTGAGCTAAGAATCATCATCTTATGCATGACCGAAAAATCGAGAACGATGCTAATTAGATAAATAATAAAAAACCCAGGATCGAAGTGGAAATCGAACCTGGCCCGTTTGCGTGGCAAGCGGATGTTCTACCACAGAGCCACGCGTCTGCTGCGAAAACAGTGCAGATAACTACTTCTGCTTAAAAAATGCAGTGATAGTAACAGCATGGAATATTGTAGTAATAATGCGTGGTACAAGCCTACATTGCCATCGGGCGTCAGGCCATGTGATAATCATAATGACTTCATTGTTTGAAACCAGTCACCCACTACAAAATGCACACGTCACTGCGCCTATTCCCGTAAGACCACGTAGTGAGTGCACAGCAAGTTCGGAAAGATTTTATACACTAAATTTTGAAGTACGCACTAGGAACAGTATATCGCTATCGCATTCAACTCTTACTGGAGAAGCTTAAGGATTCCCCCCCCCTTTTTTTTTTCATAAACCCGCTCTTAAGGTTCCAAACACTAAATTCAAACATTTCAGCGCGCGAACACATGAAAGAAGGCCAGAGTAGACAGAAATTTCTGTCTGCTCTGTCCTTTTTCCTATGTTCGCGTGCTCAAAACGCTTGCCAGTATGCCAGTGGTACTGGTTGAAAATCTGGCAGATATAAATTATTATGAAAACTTCAATTTACGCTAGTAATGATAACGTGAATCAGAATTAATAGTTTTTTAATAAATATAAATATTCGAAACTTTCTTGATGCTTTCGTTCCAAAATCTTTTGCGAAATATTTCTTAATTGTATATCTGCAGCACCTTAAACAAAATGTAATATATAATGGCAGAAAATCAACTCTACGCTTACTAAAACGTGAGATATGCCGATCCAATGGCCTTTTCTCGAAATTCGCCTCTTTTCAAATTTCGCAATTTCAAGTTGAGAATTCTCCTTTAACCAACGGTGCTTACAGAACTAAAGTTTTAGTAAAATGTGTTCCTTGAACAATATAAATACTTACAATTAAAATCCACTTACGCCACTGTTATGAAGCGGGGCCATCTTCATGCACGGCTCGTGGAAATCCCGCGAGCCGTTTTTGGCAGGTAGTGAGCTAACTGGCAATAACAGGATTTTTTTTTCTTCTACAGCAAGCACATGCACACTCTCTACAGGTTTTTGTCGTTGGCAGCGCTGTCGACGTCAACTTCATTTTACGTATAGAGTCAGAACTGATACCATCACCCTGGGCATTGTATATTCAACCCGCGTTTAAAATGTCGCGAGTGCGGCTAAAGCGGAGAGGAAACGAGCCGACCGTCCCCGTCGCACCGAGAGCGCATGCGATAATATCAGCTCACACACGAGGACTGCCATCGATCATTCGTCAAGCCGATAGAAAATGATGATATGTGGGGTTTAACGTCCCCAAACCACCATATGATTATAAGAGACGCCCTAGTGGCGGGCTCCGGAAATTTCGACCACTCGGGGTTCCTTAACGTGCACCCAAATATGAGCGCACGGGCCTACAACATTCCCGCCTCAATCGGAAATGCAGCCGGGATTCGATTCCGTGACCTGCGGGTCAGCAGCCGAGTACCTATAGCCACTAGACCATCGCGGCGGGGCGCGCTATTAAGCTACCCACTACGCCATAAATCAGAATTCTTGTCTAATTGGAAAGCACCCACTACGCATGTCTTTGC